AGTAGTTTTGACAAAGTACAGAGGTCATAAAAAAATCAGTGGACCATGGTCATCATCCTCATTGGCACATTCTGAAATCTTGGCATCTCCTTTGTTTTGGTCGAAAAATCAATTTTGATTTGAATAATCGTGTTTAAAATTTTAATTGATTTTTAGCCCACAATTTGTGAGATAGACCACTCTTGCACTAACCATTTCGGCGTAAGAACTATGAACTGAGTTAGACCAAGTCATGTAATGCATCATAAAAATAACTTTTATTGATCTAAATTTAACCAGTTTAGAAAGAAAACAGGTAGATAAAACATCGGATTGTCTACAGGTCCCGTCATATACAATGTACTTGGAACAAAAAGCCATTCGTTTGGAAATCACATTGTTTCGATAACCTTGTTTCAATTTTTTACCCATTGTACAAGCTGGGCCTGGAGAAATCTAATTTGTAAGGATTTACGAACACAATTTACTCAGGTTTTGGATTGAAAATGGTTGACATGCATTGCTGGCCAAACTTTTATTGGTCAAGATCTGAATCGTCCGAGTCCTCATAATCACTATTATCGTCTGGGTGATAAACTCCAGCAAGTCATTGTAAAACTGATGATTCACTGGAGGCACCAGCTGTAGTAGCTCTTTCAGATCCTTTAATTTCAGTGGGTTGATTTGGATAGGTTCATCATACAACCGCGGGAGGGATATCACTTTTGGATCATTGGGTCGGCCGCTGGTAACTTTGCGCTCTAAATCAAGCTCAAAGAATGGTGCGTCTTCATCAGCTTAGTATTTCAGATACATTTTGAAAGGGTTTTCTGTCTTCAAACAAATCCATTGTATCTTGAGCCACATTACATCCTCACCATCAGTGCATTTTTTTCTATTGACGGTGATCTCAGCCATTGCATCGGAGTTCAAAAAATCATCTTGCTGCATTTTCATAACTTCAAATTTGTTATGCTTCCTTGCCTTTGAGACCAAATTCATCCAGTCATCTGGTACATAGATACACAAAGTTCCATGCTTTTTCTTTTCAATTACACCAAAATCTTGATCATTTGGCAGATAACTGTGGCCTGATACCATAAATTTATGGTTGACCTCAACAATTGGCAATGTTGCCACCATGTGAGACCAAAATAATGCCATCTTGATATTTCTATTTTGACCCCCACATGCATCACTGTATGCAGTGATGTTTTGGACTCAACGCTGTGACTGCTGTTTCACATACTTGTATACACAAGACCCAATTTCATTTGACCCTCGTTTGGCAGTTGCCTCATGCCACATATACATTTTAGCCTCATTGTCGCGCATTGAGTGAATTGCAAGGTTGTACGTCCACAACTGGCGTTTGTAATAAACCGTCCCAGTCGGAAGGTAAGGCGTGGCCAAAGTTTTTTCCAGGTCGAATGTGATTGCTTCATACGTTGGATCATTCTTTGCTTTTTCCGATTCGGCTCCAAGAGACTCCCTGATCTTTTCTGCTTTACGGTGATGTACTTCAAGCTCAGCTTTAAGGGCGGTTTTCTGTCTCTCATCTTGAGTTGCATCTATCCTTTTTTTTAGAATGTCACATGTTTTACACGTATCCTTCCTTGGAGGATGAAACGACAGGTTGAATTTTGTGGTAAATGTTTGACGGTACACCCATTCCTTCAGCGGTTCTACAGCTTTTTTTTCACAGTCCTCTCTATACAGTTCATATATTTTAGCTACTGTTAGATCGGGCGACAGGTACTTCTTGTCCTCTGGTTAGCTCTTGTATAATGACTCTCATAAACAGGGAACGAATTGATGTGGTCTATTACTCCTTGTCGCGCGTCTGGATCCAATCTTTTCTGATTTCCATGTTTGCCCCCTTTTATCAGGAACTGGTACCCCTTGTCCTTCACCACCTTGTTTCTGCAGTGCTCTGTTCACCCGCCCATTTGAAATCCCCAAAGTTTTAAGGTAGAACGTCTTGCAAACAGTGAATTCATCATCCGGGGTAGTCAGATTGTATGTACGGGAGAAACTTCGTCGTGACGTGGCTTGATCAACACGATCTGTGTGCCGCTCAGTTCTAGCAACACCGATATAACCACAGACAAAGGCATTTTGCTGGTCAAAATCTCCAATGGCCCAGAAATTGTTGAATATTGCCCTACGCTGAGCCTCTAATATTGTCCTTGCACATGTTCGACACTTGTGTTGCTGTATTGGTTGAAACGCTTTAGGAGCTACATCTTGATGAGAAACACCTACATATCCTTCTCTTGTGTTGCGTTTCTTCTTTCTGCTGTCGGTGCTTGGCTCACCTTCTTCACCAAGAACACTGGTGGTGCGTCGATTCCTTGGCTTAGGAACATAGTTCGGATCTCTGTCTGAATCATCGGCTGGGTCGCTACCATGATCAGAATTGATGGGATCTGTGCTTTGGTCACCATCTGTTTCTTGATATAGGTTTGAGGCCCCTACAATAGCTGGAAGTATAAAATAGGGTTGATCTTAAAACGCTTAGTGCAATAGTGGTCTAACTCCAAAAGTGACAATATAATCGGGTTCTAACGGTTAGTAACTGGATAATAACTTCTAAAGTGATGTTCTGCGGGTTCTATGCTCTGTTCTTTTAATGGATACATACCTTCATCCTGCTCAATCATCCTCAAAACCTCTGAATCAGGGATGTTTTTCCTCATGCAGGACCGAGTCTGCATGGGCGCCGACATATTGGATTTTGGAGATAGACCAGTCTTGCACCATGTGTTTTTCTCAAACCGTAAGTGAAAAAAAGTGCTGCTACCTATATTTTTTTTTTGTGAAACTAGGTTCAGTGTAGACCACTGTTGCACTAAGAGTTTTCCACACTCAGGATTCCTGTTATAGGTCTAACTCAAAAATTTTAAAAAGTGGAGTTAGACCACTATTGCACTGAGCAGAATCGCTTCCTTAGAATGGATCTGTAACAGATTTGCAACTGCCAATCATAATATGAAATGGAGTTTAACGTCCTACTGTTCTGCTCCGAACTGGGCTTACGAAGACGGGTCATAATATGAACACAAATATGTATTTTCCTTCGTTTGAGCGTGTATGTGTTGTGTTGTTGGTACAGGTTTTGTCATTCAGGTCAGTTCACATTCGTAGCACGTGCATTGTTTAAATTTATTTCATACCTCGTGGTTATGATTTTGATCTTATTATATATTATGGCCGATACAAAGAATAGATCTACTGTCACATTAGAAGACATATTTATTAGCCGAAGTAAGAAGTCAGAAAAAATGATTCAGATAGAAAATTTGAATATATGAAAGAACAGCTACAAGGGGTTAATAAGATGTTTAATAGAGAATTGGATAAATTGAAATCTGATAATGACGTTGAATGGAGGTTTAAAGGTAAGAAACTGCAGTTCAATTTTAATTCGGTCTTATTGGATTAGCTGGGTGTATGATCACGGTAAATTAAATTATGCTAAAGAGCTGACTGGTGAAGTATATGAGAAATTAACACACAGAAATAAGCTTATTAAAATGGCTGATAGTTCTCAAGGAGGGTGGGAAACAGTTAATCAGTATGTCAGTAATCCGTCAGCAAGTGATTCTGATGATGAAAGAAAAATCAGCAGAGCAGTTAAAAAGAGGAAATAATTATGAACAAAGAATGTTCCGAATAAACGCCGCAAGATTGAATTTGACAGTGATGATAATTTTCGTTCACCTCAATCTTCGAGTTTTTATAGGTTTCAAAGAAGTCAGTCCTTCCGTGCCATGCCGAACCGTGGAAGCTGCTACATGTGAGAAGAATTCGGTCACTTCAAGAGAGAGTGTCCCAACCTCAATCAAAACCAAAGTAACACTCAGAACCCCAGATCAAACCATTTACAGGATGATTCTAACCATAAAATATCTAATGGCGTAAAAGATAAGTATTTACCCGAAAATTAACAGAAAATATTTATTGTTTGATCCATCATGTGATCGTGTAATATTTTCAGATACCAGTTCTTACGGCTATGGTGGTTATGTGGTAGAGGGAAGCGGTGATATTGTCCATGGGTTTTGGACAGTACACGAACAGAACATAGTATTAGTTCCACTTGGAAAGAATTGGAGGCTGTCTGTAGGGTTTTAAAATCCATTTATCCCAAACTTCGGGGGAGACGTGTAAAGTGGTATTCGGATAATCAAAGTGTAGTTAGTATTGTACCGGAAGGGCAGCATGGAATCTGAGTTACAAGACATTGCTTTAGAAATATTTAAAATTTGTATGAAATACGGAGTAATAAAATGGAATGGATACCAAGAACTTAAACTGAAAGGGCGGATTATATTAGCAAGATTGTTGATGGTGATGACTTGTGTATAGTAAGTGAAATATTTAATAGATTGTCTCTCGAATGGGGGCCTTACGAAGTGGATTGGTTCGCTTCTGAACATAATAGTAACTGTGATACATTCTTTTCTAGGTCCGAAATGTAGCGGAGTAGAAGCATTCGCGGTTTCGTGGAATGGGTGGATTGTACCCCATGTTTATTTAGTAGAAAGAGTAATTAAGCATATGTTGTGTAAGGCTTTTGGAACACTAATAATACCAATGTGGCACTCCGCTAGCCTTTGGCCGTGTTTATGCCCTATATGGAATAGTTTTATTGATATAGTTAAAGAATGGTCGTAGTTATCATTACTGAAAGAATTTTATAGTAAATCCAGGCACAGTAATAGCATTTTTGGTTCTCAAGACATATCTTTTAAAATGATAGCACTTAGAATTGATTGTAGATATTGCGTTTGTTTGGTCTTTTTATATTACAGTGTACACTGGCATCAGTGTGTATACTTATGTTACCAGTATTGGTTGTAATATAACCTGAATAAGTGTTTAAAGGTTATCGGTGTTGGTAGTGATTATGTTTATAGCCGTTATGGTTTATGTTTAAACTAAGTAAATGGTGAGGATTATTCAAATTTACCGAATAAACTACTACCATTGCTGACGTTTCTTCCTGGTATTGCTATTCAAGCTAAAGCATTATCTACTACAGCTAAATTACAGAGGATACTTAGCTTGGAAAGACTGGGTACTTCTTAATGATTTAAACGAAAGTGATGTTATCCCTGCTAAACCTCCACATGTTTCCTTGTATTTGACTGAATTAATTCAAGATAAAGACACGATAAGTCCTTTATATCAAGCCTTTTACAGCATTAAATGGACACATTCAATTGCCAATCTCCCCTGTCCTACGGATTCACCATTTGTGAGAAATGTGCTGGAAGCGGGGAAACGGTTGTTATCTAAACCAAAAGTTAAGAAAACTCAAATTCTTTCAGATCATTTAAATTCTTTATATGATAAAGAATTTGCGTCTGGTTACGCATATCGACAACGTACTCTTTGTGCATGTCTGCTTGCTTACAGTGGTTTTCTGAGAAGTGCGGAACTTTTACATATATATCAAATCATCAGATATAACTTTTGTATGTCACTCATATGTCGGTAATTCATTGAAACGAGTAAAACAGATATTTACAGAGATGGTTATAGAATCAGATCTGAAAATGGAAAATGTCTTAGCTACAGTCGTATTTTAGAATTGTTTAAAGAAGCGTTTTTGGTAATTGTGGAATGTTATCAGTATGGGCTTCATAGTTTGAGGTCTGGGTTGCTACTGCAAATATGGGAATACCGGATAGATTATTTAAAATGCATGGTCGCTGGACATCCGATAAGGCCAAATATGGCTACATAAGAGACGATCTTAATAAACGTTTATCAGTATCTTTAAATTTAAGATTGTAAGTATATACGCCAATAACCTTTCTTTATCCGCCAATCGGTTAGGTGGCTTCCCAAAAACAGTCTTTGTTTTATTTATCTGGATTTATATATCGAACTGTCGATCTTAGATAAGATTATGATCGGTAAAAGTTTCCTGGGTGCATGTATTTAGTGACGAAGGGGAGAAATATAATTAATATGATAATTTAGGGTTACTTAAAGGGACATTCTCATGGGTGAAATTTCTAAAAATTTATATTTTATTTAATGATTAAATATTTGTTTATTTGTTAACATCGGGTTGTTTCTGTTTTCTTATTAGATGTTTTTTGATAGCTTTTGTCCAATAACATTACTTTTGTCCAATAACGTTATTTTTAATTAAGAGTCCAAACAACAATGGCTGATGCAAGGCAATAGGTAACCCTACAGGTCGGCTCATTTCATGTTATGCTGTCCATAGTGGATCCTATTTACAGATTTAAAGCCCAAGAATTTGCCAGATTTGCTTAGTTGGATTCAGAACGGGGCCCCTAGCTTGCCATAGTAGTGTAGCAACCTGACGTCTAAAATCCATCAACAGCATTCTCAGTATAATCTAGCTTTGTTCACATTGTTATTGTGAGAAGATGGTGATTGTCAACGTGAGGTACTATAGCCCTTCCCATGATCCCACTGGTATTGTGAGCCATTGCAATTACCGGTGGACACTTATATAGTCATATTTAAGACAAGCCCATATCATGATAGAGCCACCGCCGACTGGAATCTTCTTTCGGGATGTTCCTCTGTGCACATGCCATGTTCGTACGTCGCCATACCCGTGCTTTACCATCCGTGATGAACAAGAGAAGGTCACTCCCACCCGACTGGTAAATTTTTCACCATGACGCCATGTACAAATGATGAGGCCCTCAACACCATGCTAGGGGTGCATGCGAAGTCGATTGGGGACGGTGGGATAAGCATTCCTTTAATGCTCCTTTACGTCATTTATGTTTTCACATGGTCGAGGTATGGTTGCTATCCCAGCATCCCTCATGACAATAACTGTCATACTATGTGTATCCCTCATGACAATAACTGTCATACTATGTGTCTATAGAGATTATTTAAGTTCTCAGAATGGTGTTATGCTTAATGAATTGAAGTCGTTACCTGCAAATGAGTGACATCTAGATTTGCGCTAATGAGGTAGCTTGCAGATTTAAATCGGTCAATGACGTCATAGTCTGGTAATCCAAATATGGTCCCCTATGCTACAAAACTGGACACCCTTCCTTCTTAGTTCCCATGTGATAAAACAGGTAAGTCTATGACTCGTGCACCTTTCCCATTTATAAGAAAAGGCCCAAGTGTGGTTCCTTTGGATCATCATACGTTTCTAGAGAGGCGTACCATTAGTCGTCTTGGCCGAGGCGGCCTAGACAGACCATCGTGTAGATTTAGCAAGAAGAGTGTGGAATACTCTCTAACCAATGCATTATTGATGTTATAAAGATATATAAACATAGTTTTAACAATACAGTGTTGCAGAGTTAATTGACCAAAGATATATAAACATAGTTTTAACAATACAGTACTCCGAGTTAATTGACCAAAGAGATATAAACATAGTTTTAACAACACAGTGCTCCAGAGTTAATTGACTAAAGATATATAAACATAGTTTTAACAATTATTCTACCATTAATAATAATAGTACACAATGTGAAGTTCGAGACGTGACACAGAACCGAGTCACTAGGAGATCCAGAGGGTGAGAAGGGTATATCACCTTTAGATTGCTATGACTAAAAGAGTTGTTTAACAATAATACAAGAAACTACAAGTCCAGATATATGATATTACACATATAGAAATTTATATTTTATAGTCTGCGTTCCACGAGCCTTGAACTTATACCGGTCACCTGAAACGCAGATAATTACCTTATGATAACCTAGCCTCAAACATAGGGAGTGATATATATATAAATCAAAATAAAATCAACATTTTTAATAATACATGAGTTGCACCACATTTGTTATGTTGACGTCCATTAAGAAATGAATTTAATTTATTTAGCGTTGATATGGACAGTTGATTTTGAATAATCTTTTAAAATAACCTGGGTAAAAAGGGTTTCAAAACATTGGTAAAAGCTCCAAGCACAAGATTCGCGGAATCTTTAAAATCGATATGGTTCGTACTATCACTGCCTTATTGCTTCATAACAACGGACATGGGTGACGATATAAACAGTTTAAATGTTTAAATCAATCAGAATATGATTTTTTTGGTACGGTTCAATCTTCATTTTTAGCTTTGGTATTTAAAGTCTCAACATGTAGAACGATGTCTATAAAATAGTTATAGTCGTATCCCGTAGTACTTTCTGTGGACATACAACATCAAATTCATTAACATAGACCTGTCGTTCACGTTGCACATTCTGACTTTTAAAACAACATTTACATAATATCTTGTTGAGGAAAATTGTCTTTAGTTCTTTTCGAAACTTCTTACCACTGACAACATACAAGATAAAATTTAAAGCATGGTTAATGTACATCATATTATCAATAACTGCATGTATCAAATGAAATGTTGCTAAATCTTCGGATGTTTTCGGAACCCACAAATATTTTTGAATGACCAACATGACACCCACTGGACCGGTCAGTATCAAGAAGGCACATGAAACTAAAATCAACATAATAGTAATCTGCCTTTGCTGTTTATTAATATCATTTCGTCTGTTTGTACAGTCATTCATATTGAGTTTCGAATTCTTGAGATTCTTGATGATTAAGATATTCAGAATAAATAAAGAAGAAACTGGAAAGTAACAATAAACAATCGCATCAATCCAAGGATAGATTTTAGTAAAAAAGAATAAATTTGCTTCACCTTCGTAACAACAACCTAGTTTACCAATTTCTGCATCAAATGCAATACTTTTGAGAGTTCCTTGAGGAATATTGATCAGGGAGGAAAATACACCAACAGCAAATATGATTCTTTTGGTACGTGTTTTTGTAACCCAACCAGCTGCTTTAAGTGGATATTTAACTACAATGTAGCGCTCCAATGTCATCGCAACAATTAAAAGCGCCACAAAATGTATAGCAAAATAAAACAGAAAGCTCACCAAATTACAAACGATCACATCGTGTGTAATTAAATTATCCATTAAACCGACAGTTCTTATTATTAGAATGATCGTATCTAGTACAGCTATTACCATCATATACATACGAGTTGTTGGTTTGATTAGATTTGAAGACACAATCACAGTAAACGACAGGATATTCCCAATAATTCCAAACGTCGTATATATTGGCATTGATATGGTGTTAATATCTTCACCAAGTTTGTAACTAGTGAAACTAAAGGGAGTTTCTGTCGAATTCACACTCATGATTCTATCAATTATTTAGAAATATCTAAGGAATCAAGAAAAAAAACAATTTCCAATGAGATTTCAGATCCTGCAACCAAACAATACTCCCATCACAATGCTTGCTAACCTCTCAAAGATAGAATGAGCTTCGCCTTAGCTCATGCATTATCTAAGGAATCAAGAAAAAATTTCCAATGAGATTTCAGATCCTGCAACCAAACAATACTCCCATCACAATGCTTGCTAACCTCTCAAAGATAGAATGAGCTTCGCCTTAGCTCATGCATTATCTAAGGAATCAAGAAAAAATTTCCAATGAGATTTCAGATCCTGCAACCAAACAATACTTCCATCACAATGCTTGCTAACCTCTCAAAGATAGAATGAGCTTCGCCTTAGCCCATGCGTTATTATGCACTTATCGTTTGCTAGATCTTTTGTGCAATCAATAATGTTTTATATGTCAGATATCCATTAGCGCCATTTAAAGTCAGTTTAACATTTCGTTAAAATGTTCTCATATTGTCAATATTTGGCCGTTTTTGTTCACAAAATATATATTCATAATGATTAAAAAACAAACTAAAATAAATGGCCATTAGTCATGTGAGGAATCTATCTACACAAGAGCTTCCGGGCTTGCATAGTTATTTTGTCATTCCCTTCAATTTCTCTCATATTGTCAGCATTTGCCGTTTGTGATACGTTTTTCTCCTTCTACATGCGCTACACGGTGTTGACTGGATGTTACCACCTTGCTGAGATGTCGAGTAACAATTGTATTGAATGCGAGTAGTAGCAATACTGTGTACCACTAACCTGAGGCACGGAACCACATTGCGTCACAAACCCATTAAAGATTAGTTTTCTTCTTACTTGAACTTGAATATGGAAGTGACATGAAATGGTATTTAACGTCCAACTTAGACTGGGCTAATGAAGACTGACTTGAAAGTAGCTAAGTCTCTAACTCAGTATCATCCAAAACCTTCGACAATGAAAACACGAATTATTTGTCAATTTTAATCAACATAGGTGTTGTGATTTTACCGGAAAAGATGGGCTTCAAATATCCAACATTTAAGACAAAATTTGACGATTGGTAAATGAATCGTGTACCATAATACGTTTCAGCACAATTTGTAACAAGCAACTTGAAGAACGAGGTTAGACACATTCCACAAGTCATGTCAAACGGTGACACCATATTCTTATCTGGAGAACATGCGCAATAAATACTATCGGTGTAGACTGGAATAAGCAGACGCTAGAGATTAATATTGGATTGAGACTTCAAGTTCATATATATGATATTACACATATAGAAATTTATATTCTCTAGTCTTCCTTCCAAGACCCTTGAACTTACACCGATCACCTGAAACGCAGATAATTACGTTATGATGAGTCTCATAGGGAGTGGTATATATATATATATATATATATATATATATATATATATATCAAAATGAAAATAAACTCAACATTAATATTGTCAACATTTTTAGCTTTGAGAAGGTTTGACAAGGGATTGTGCTAGGTTGCTCAAGTCTGTCCTTTTTGTAGCTTTGCAGATTTTACCAAACTTTGAGGAATGTAATCTATAATTCCTGATTCTGAACCAATCTGGGTTACTAATTGATAATATTTTTTTCAATATTATCAATTTAGAACTGTGTTATGTTAGAAATTTGCATGTCCTCCAACCATTTTTCGCCAAGTTGTTTTTGTAAATAATCATGATCAACATCTAATGCTACTGGATTAGCTGGTGAAAAACTTTGAGAAATGGGATACTGATTTATTGCTGGGTGGCTTAACCAATTACTTCAAAAGTAATCTGGGTATCCCAAACGATTTATGTATTTGTCTGGTCTAGGTTCGAAATTGACATTCAGATTTGATTGAGCAAGGGGTTGGTTTTGAGCCTTGATGGGGCTTCCATAATACTGTTTACTTTTATGGAAGGTTTGTTGTTCTTGTGTGCAAGTCTCTTCTACTATCAACTCATACAAAAGAACACGTGTGTTTACAATGGGCAGTTGACCCCATTCCTGCAGCACATTCGCATTAGCTCTCTGTAACGCACCCATCTTTATCAATTGACAAATCAGTATTATATGAGACACTTTTTTTTCCATTTCAGCTCTACATTCGGATCGAAAAAATACTTGAAAATCATCACCATGTGCTATGCGGATATACTTTAAAAATCTGTTTTTATAAATGTGTATCACATCATTATTAATTTGTTTATTTAGTGGTTTTAGAAAGGACTCTACAGCTTGAAGTTTTACTTTAATAAATTTTGTTCCGCTGTTGACATCTTTATAATTTCCAAGAGATGGTGTGGTCATGTAATACTCATTTTTAATTTTTCATTTCCAACATCTTTATTCCGATCATAAGCTTCTAGTCTGAAATAGATTTAAAGTAAATGACATTTCCATATGTAGAATGTAAAAAATAACAAACTGCATCCGCTAAAAAGACTGGTTAGACCTAGGGAATTTTATGAAAACATGACATGTGATAATTGGAATTGAGCGGTCACTAAAAAGCCATTTTCCTATTTAATGAAAATGTAAAATATTGATGGTTGTACATTTGCATACATGTGGTCAAAGGGTTGTTTGCTTATCGTTATATAATAAAAACTTTGAAACTGCCACATCCATTTGTTAATTTTGGAAATTTTGGTACTGTCACTGATACTTTAATAATTGTTTTTTGTTTGTTATTTTTTTTTGATAATCGGAATTGAGCCAGCTACTACAAATTTTGTGACGACTTTTCTATATACCAGTAAATGATCGTATTTTTTACTGAATTATTTATATTTTTAAATATAATTTTAAAGCCAATTAAACATACATTATGCAAGAGCTAAATCTGTCTATTGCGGGTCTTTTTTAGGCCTGAAATTTTATCTAAATTATTAGACGTTAATTAACTTATCCAGACCGTAATAAACTCTTGATGGCATCTCTGGCCTGCGATATTTAGTATTTAGCGGATTGAAATACATATTTGGAAAAATGATTAAATCCAAAAATGGTTAATCGAGACTATGTTTTTTTATGGTACCTACTTTAGTAATGCTTATTATCGTGATAACTGTCAACTCTTTATCTAATCTCCCATAATGCCCCACTAAGTGTCAGTTAATTATTTCCTATTTAATGAAAATGTAAAATATTGATCATTGTACGTTTACATACAAGAAAGTGAAATAAAAGCAATTGGCACGTCCAACCCAACAGGATTCGATCCATAACATCACGCGCCATTTACAAACAGTATTTTAAACATGTGGTCATAGGGTTGTTTGCTTATCAGACATTATGTAATAAAATCACTCAAATATTATTTTGTTATGAAAATTAAATAAAATAGGCCTATATACTTCAAATTCTTTTAACCATAAGTTTTGATGTGATAATGGGTGATGAATTTCCCTATTTCTGTGATATATGGGATAATATTCCTAATATATAATGTACAAATCTGCATTGCAGTGAGTCTTATTTTCGTTCATAATTTAATAATATACGACTCGGACTACCGACTAGGCCTAGCCTAGATTGAATATTGAGCGCTTGAGGTTGCACAATATTCAATATAACCTGATCGCCTTCATGATAAATATTATTCATTATCATACATATGGAAAGTTATTCCCATTTTTGTTATTTCTGGGATGTCAAAATCAACACAGTTTAATCAGCAGCAAGAACTGACCATTATTAAAGATTGTTAATTAATTGGGGCCTAGGCTAGCAGACGACACAACAACAAACACTAAATAATAGCCATAATGCCATGGTTTCTTCCCTGAACGAAAGCCACAACGTCAAAACCGCCCGATCTTGGCGTATCGGCAATAACACAAACCTTTCTATTAATTCATTCTTTCCGCCAGAAAGGCGTGCACCTCGTAGCTTCAGCTCTTTCTTCAAGGACAAAAGACCCCAGTCTTCGTACTTCCGAGTCCGCCATGCCACCTATTATCAAGGGGAGATAAATCCCACGGAGATCCCTCATTGATGTGATCATTTAAGGTCTACCATGTCCTATGGAGATTTGTAACACGCTTTTATAGCAAATATGTCTACACGAACTAACAATAAAAAATTTATTGGATTAAACGGAAACATTTTTTTAAAACTGTAAAATAATATACGAATTATCATTTTATATGGCATATATTTACGGGTAATTAAAGTAATGCGGAAATTTGCAACACGTTTTTTAACATCCTATCTTTTCCCTTCCTTTTCAGGGATAGACTGAGTGGAGTATGGTAGTTTCAGGGGTCACTAAACTACTCCTCGGCGAGAAATTTCTTTTGAAGACCGTGAATGATGTTTTCTATAGTATACACTGATGATTCTAGTCTATGCACAAATTTGGTGTTTGACAATCTTATGGGAAATTAATTTTTAACCCAATATTGTATTCAGTAACTCTGAAAACGTTATTTTACAAGCAATATCCCACAAGAACAATAATTGCTATTTTGGATTCTATTTGGAATTTTAGTTTGATATTGTCTGACATATGTATCATTGAACCAAACTGCATTGGTTTCTCTTGCTATTTGTTTCGGGTAAATCGTTACCCCTCCACGCATATTACTGCTGCAAGGAGTTATGGAACGTCCTCGTGCCCACTGTGAAGATCTTTCGGATACAGAAAAT